ACCAGAACCCCCCCAAGCGCCCTTTAGTAGAGCCCTTGTGGCCCTGAATACTGGATATTTGGAATATATTAAGGTGGTTGCGGGTCTAGGTAAAACCTCAACCTCAAACCCTCGTCTTCACTGAATGCCAAAGCTCCCGGCGCTACGTGGATAATCGTAGGTCTGGCCGGCATGGCCTGGAGAAGAGGCCATACGAGATAGTGCAAAGGCCTAATAGTCAGAATGGGTTTTGGTGGTCCCTTATTACGGCTATAGTATAAGATACCTCCAAACCATAGCTAGTTATGAAGGCCCCTATCTCAGAGTCCCTATGGCCCTTAATCGTGGGTATTTGGGGTATATTAGAAGGTAGTTGGGGGGTCTAGGCTGGCTTCATGGTTTAGGGTTTGGATTGGTTTGGAGGTTTATAGGGGTTAGGGCTTAGTTTAGGGAGTAGCTTGGGTTTTGTTATGGAGGTGGATAAGGGTTTGTTTTTTCTTCATTTTTATGTTCTGGAGGGGTGTGGGGGGGGGGGGGGTGTTGGGATGTGGTTTGGTTTGGGGTTTGGGACTTGGTTTCGGGGATCTGGTTTAGGGTTGGGGCTTGGGGTTTCGGGTTAAAGGTTACTTTGGTGGCTTTCAGGGGGAGAGTGTGGCACAATTCCAGGAAACCAGAAACACCCCTGAACTTGTACACCCGAGGCACTAGATATGAGAATTAAGGCCCTAGAATTAAACGTGAAACCCTCCAAGCACGCCAGGCGGCTAGACTGAACTAGCGGCTAAGATAACTGTCCCAAGACCCTAACGAAACCCTAACATCAAATTTTCACTCTTAACAGCTACTGTAGACTGGCCTAGCGGCTAAGATAACAGGACCCTAAGCCCCAAACCACATACACCTCACACCTTCTACTTATAAAGGCCCCTATACTATAGTGCCCCTCTCGATCCCTGTCCCTTTTTGTAGCCCTTTTTGACCCTATCAACCCTAAACCGCGGCAAGAGACTGTTTCTTCTTCGCAGACCGGAACTGGAACGATGGGCACGGGAGCAGCAGGCGCGCGGGCCTATCGGCTGTCGGAATCATCACGAGTTCGGCGCTTTTGGGGTTTTGAGGTTTATTAGGTTTATGGGTTTAAGGCTTGGTTCAAGGTCCACGATTCATTGCTTGCCTCAGGGGCTGCAGTGACTTCCATGAGCATTCTGTTTTTTGGGGGATCGCTGTTGCTTGCCAGCACCGCCAACCCTAAGACTCCAAGTGAACAAATGGTACCTACTTTGGGGTCTAAAGTCTATAAATACTACCTACTTTGGGCCCTTTGGGAGTCTTAGGGCAAAGCTCATGTGGACCGTGGAATAGGGCACTTCGCGTGTGGGTGACCACGAGAGGCCGAAGCCCTCTCGTGCTGAGGCTCAGGGTTGTGGATTCGCCGTATATAACGAAATCATAATAGCGAACCCTAAGAGGGCACTTATAATTATCACGGAAGCATAATAACGAGCCCTAAGAGGGCACTTACATAACGAAATCATAATAGCGAACCCTAAGAGGGTAGGCTTTTTGGCGTCCAGGTAGTGGACAAGGTGCTCTTCTGGGAACTGACTGAAGGGAGGAGGCTTTCGGCCGAAAGTGAAGCTCACCTCTGTACGCCAAACCTTAAAGATATACATTACTAGCTTTGGGGGTATATTAGAAGGTTTGGGCTTTAGGCTTTAGGATTTAGTTTCTTTGCTGTGGTATATCACAGTCTCATTATAACAAGGGGCCCTGTAGAATAGTATTGGCAATGATTTGGGCCTCTATTCTAACCTGTGAAAGGAAATTCAGGGCTACTTGGAGTCTCAGGGGATAAGTAAGGCAATAAGTGCCCTAATTGGGGCTCTAAGTGATTATAACTATAGCTGCCCCATTTATTTATAACCCTTAATTACTACGTCCCTGATCCTCCAAGTATTCTAAACCCTAAACCCTTATAGTACCCCTAAAGATCCCTTAAAGGGGACCCTGAACCCTACAGTTGAAGCCCAAAAGTTGGAAACTCAATAGCCTCAATCCTTAAGAGCAATGTATAGGGAATCCCAGCACTATGTCGCCTTAATCCGGTTTCCACCCCTTCTTGGGGTTTACTTTAATTACTAAGTCCCATGATCCCCCAAGTAGTAGACCCTAAACCCTAAACCCTTATAGTACCCCCTATAGATCCCTTTAAGGAGCCCTTTAAGAAGCCTTACTAAGTCCCATGATCCTCCAAGTATGAAAGGATGGGGGAGATCTAGGGCTGTCATTCGAGTTTGGGGTTTAGGGTTTAGGGTTTAGGGTTTAGGGTTTAGGGTTTAGAGTAAAGCTCCGAGTTTAGGGTTTAGGGTTTAGGGGTTTAGGGGTTCAGAGTTGAGGGGTTTAAGGTTTAGGGGTTTAGGCCTTTAGGGTTTAGGGGCTCCATTTGGGAGTTTCCGAAAGGGCCACCCTAATATAGTACCCTAAATGGGAGGATCCTTATTAGAACAAGCACCCCCGAAAAAGGAACCCCTAATTTTCGGAAACTCGCATTTCCATGTATCCAGCTAGTCTGTCCGGTTTAGGGTTTAGGGTCTACCTAGGCCTTCAAGGATATTCACCCCTTAGGGAAAGTTTTGTCGGCTCCAGGAGATTTGCGTCTTCGGGGTCTTGAAGCCGATTCTCGAAGCCTTCGTCTTTCTACAGTTTAGGTTTTAGCGTTTTGGGGTTTCGGAGTTTCGAGATAACCGGACTTGCATTTTTGACCGTCGCAGGCGCACCAAGCTGGCTTTCTGATGGAATGGGCAGGGTGGCGCTGGGGGTGCCAGGAAGCTCAGCAAATTAGAATTTGGGTGTTCGGGCTCATGGCTTATAAGCGGCTGAAAGAACTGGTAATACAAACTAAACCCTAAACCGTAAAGCCCACAAGTAATGCTTGTCCTCAGGGCACCCTATTACAGACGTACTTGAACACTCCTCCCAACCCTGGACGTTTTGTTCAGGCTCGTAGACTACAAGCACCAGTCAGGAATTGGGTTTGCAGCCCAGGGTCTCTCAAGCCTAAGCCCCAAATGGTAGGTATGGTGAGTTTAGGGTTTGGCGAGCCTTGAGATAACAGGGGGAGAGTAGTGCTTCCCAAAATTGAAACCTCAAAGCTTACTGGAACTGTAGTCATGAAGTAGGGAACGAAGATGTGGCCTCCCATGACATGGTCAGCTTTCAAAGCACTTCCTGAGGTCACTATAGTATGCAAACTCCAAAACTCCCAGTCTTGAGCTTCGGAAGATGGGGGAACCCCTCACTCCGAACGGTAAAACATAGGATCCTTATAACAAGGGCCTACCCTAACATAGAACGTTGAAACCACCTTGGACCTTCAACCTTTGCGAAGACTTCGGCTTAAAGGTTAGGGCACAGCTCATCATGAGTGGCCACCGTGAACACCATGCAAACCCGACACAAAACTGTTAAGCCCATAAATCCTACCTGTGGCCCAACCATTCTACCTTTTGCAGGAATCGTATACAGAAATCATAATCAGGAACCTAAACAGGTAGGTTTTTTCGGGTAGAGGTAAGCCCTAAGCTCTAAATGAGCCAGTGCTTCTACCAGAGGTGACGCCCAACCTACACCCGCAAGGTCCCAGAGTCGAACATGAAGGTTTTCCTGGGTACCAGGGCGTATGCGACTAATAATGATCAGAAAATCACGATAGTAATAATATATACTAATAATGGTTCAAATAATGGTGAACATACGCCTATACGATGTTTAATGACAAGTAGTAACAGTCATAATGGGAAGAATCATCTTAATAAGTGAAAAATCAAGTTCTAAAGTGTATATAAAGGCAGTAGGTCTCTGGTATCAAACTGTCGACCTTTTGACCTAATAATAAGAATAACACTAATACTACGAATAACAAAACAACAATAACAGTTGTAATCATGGTTAAAACCAGGTTATAAGTAAATTTTGACAGTATCAGACTCTCGACCCTGGGACCTTCAGGGACAGAAACGATCTGGCACTGCAGAGGGCAGCGACAGCTACAGAGATGAACCGGCTACGCTTTAGGGTTAAGGGTTTAGGGTTTATAGAGTTTAGTGTTTAGGGTTTCGAGTTTAGGGTCTTGGGGGTAAGTGTAGAGTTAAGGTTTAGGGTCTAAGGTTTAGGGACCAGTGTTTGATATTTAGCAGAAATCATGAGCAAAAAAAGATCCACTGTGAAAGCCCAGAGATCAAGACCAGGGGCGTTAAATTGGATGATCTCAATCAAAACCTTCTTGCTTAGTCCCTTGGTCAATCAAGTAAATGAGAAACTCACCGCAGAGCTTCCTTACGCCGCTCAAGGGAGGATGAAAATCCCAAGGCGCCTTCCCTACTGGACTTAAGGCTCAGGAAGCACTTCTTTGTTAGTGCTCTAAACCTTTACATGTGAACTGCTGGACTATAAACCCTAAACCCTCAACCCTAACCCTTAATCTCAAAAACCGGCCGGGATTCCACCAGCCTTGCTTGGCCTCCATATGAACACTAAACGACTGTAAAGTTGACATGCTTAACAAACAACCTCCCTTAATGTCTACACCCTAAACCCTTTCGGGTTCCGGGTTTAGGGTTTAGGGGTTTAGGGTTTAAGGGTTTAGGGTTTAGGGTTAGTGTATCTGTAAACCCTGTACTTAAACGATCATGGGACTTAGTAACTAAGGCTATTGTTAGGGTAACTATACTTACAACTACTTATAACCCCACTTAGGGTACTTATAACCATACTTAGTAAGTCCCATGATCCTCCAAGTCATCCCTAAGCCAAAAGCCCGAAAGGCCCTGAGCTGAGCTCTATCAGCCCAAAGCCCTAAGCCGGAATAGCCTACCTTTTCAAGGACTTACATAAGGAAACCATAATACGTAAGGAACCCTAAACCCTAAACCCTAAAAACCCTAAAAAAGTATGTTATTCAGGGTTAAGGTAAGCCCTAAGCCGGTCATGGCTGAGTGGGGACCCCGATTGAGAGCTGATCTTCAGCTTTCAGCCGGGGAGTCCTCCTTTCCTTCCAACACCTCATCTTCCTGGGCTAGGGCTTTAGGGTTCCTTTAAAGGGATGTAAAAAGGATCCTTAAGGGTTCCTTTAAGGAATCTATAGGGTTTAGGGCTTAGGGTTTAGGGTTAGGGTTTAGGGTTTGGGGTGGTTTGGGGTTAGGGTTTAGGCTTTCAGGGTTTAAGAGGGTATGTACGGTTTTACCAGGGATAGGATAAGTGATAACGGTTTCGGGCTTTAAGAGTTCAAAGCTTTAGGGCTTGCGGTTTAGGGAACGAGGCTGCAAGCACTTGTGACATCATGTACGGTTTAGGGTTTAGGGTTTAGGGTTTGTAGTCAGAGAAAACCCAACTCCAAAGATACGAGTATCCTGGCCCCCCCCCCAGACACGACTGCTGGTTTCGAATTTCCCCTGGGCGGCCAAACAGATCTCGAGAATCGCTTGTTAAGACCGAGGCACAGAATACGAAAAAAACAATCAGCAACCATACATGGCGTAGGACGTGTACAAGAAACCCAGAAACACGAAAAGAGTCCAATGAGTGCACCCGAAGATCAGCATCACCATCCTTTGTGTCCTCACGAACGGCAGGCTCCTCCTCGACTGGGTTCTTGACAGGGGATCTAACGTAAGTTGCCATAATAAGGAAACCATATTATTTACTGTAGATTCTAAAGATCCCTATTATGGGAACTTAAACTTGAATCCCTGAAACCTTAAACAAACCCTTAGTAATTCAGGTTACCATACGAAGGTAAGGGATTCTTACTTTACTGAGAACCCTATTATGGTAACTTAGAATTAAATTCTTTAGTAAGTGCCCAGTCCTTGATGTCGGCTTCCGAAGTTTCCTCCGCTTCTGGCTCCTTCTTTTCGCCAGGTTGCTCCCCGACCTCCGGCTCCTCTCAGATAAGACAAAACGGTTGGGGGTTTAGGGCTTAGGGCTTAAATAGGGTCCTAAATACCTATATGAGTATTTAACCCTAACATAATTGCAGGTCCTACGATCGAAGCCATACTGCCACTATGTAGGTGCTTGAAGCTTAGGGTTTATATGGCTTATGGTTCGGAGAAACAGGATTCTCAGGCTTGAAGCTGCATGGGTCTAGATTGCTTATGCATATATGGGATTCGAAGTTTAGGGCTTTTGGGGTGTAGGGGTCTTTCTCAGGGTGGGGGCTTACGAACCTCCGTATTTGCGCCTGGGGTTCAGGGCTTAACGGCTTTAGGGTTCAGGGTTTCAGGGTGTAGTAACAGACTCGTCTGAGCAGCACCTACAAAAGTGGTCCATGGGGTCTTCAAGGATAGTGTAAGTGTGTTTGACTTGCACGCCCCCCCACTTTTGTTTGGGGTGTTTGGGTGTTGGAGAGTTCTTGCTGGGTTTATCAAGACTTTGAAGGACTTCTTCAGGCTCGTGACGGTTTCTACGCGGTTCCGGTGCTGTTCTGTCTAGGCGTGCTAGGGTATAAGACGGTATGACTTCAGACTGGCAGGGCTCAGGCCCCATCGTTTCAAGCTTAGGGCTAAAGACCCTCGGGCTTTCTCAAGTCTACCGTAGAGTGTCGCTTCACAGCTCATGATGCCACAACGCATGCCATACGACTGCATATACGGCGGAACACTATCAACCTCCAATCCCCGGCAACCCCACAACAGAATGGGCAAACGGGTTCAGTTTTAGTGTGCGGTGGCTTCCTAAGGCTCCATGTGCCCAAATAATATGCACTTCGGCCGTAAAGTAAAGCATTTCTGTAGGAACTACTTCAAGGTCAAAGTGTATGCTATTCGGGCACATGGACCCTTAGGGCATGCTTCCACCGGACCAAACACCGGCAGTTATAACTACGTATAACTCCAACTCATTGATTAGGCACCTATAACCTTGCGTACTACAGTACCATGATCCTCCGAGTAACTATGGAACCCTTAAAGGAACCCCTAGAAGCAATGGCAAAAGGATACTACTTGCGAGGAGGTCTTAAAGGTCACCTCACTTACTACTCTGCGCTTCCACCAGACCACACCAGCACTTCTGGGATCCTAAAACCCTAAAACCTAAACCCCAATCCCTAAACCCTAAACCCTAAATCCGAAACCCTAATCCCCAAACCCCCAATCCTAAACCCTGATCCCTAAAACCTTAAACCCCAACCCCTATCCCTTGGAGGTTTCCTCTAACACGTTTTCTTTACGGGAACTTGGCCCCCTACTTGGCATCTTTCGGGGCTCCTACTTGGCATCTTTCGGGGCTCCTACTTGGCATCTTTCGGGGCTCCTACTTGGCATCTTTCCGGGCCTCTACTTGGCTTCTTTCTGGGCTCCCGAATTCGAACCTACTTCGCATCTTATTGGGCCCCAAGGTCTTCCTACTTCTCGGGAGAAGAATCTGTCAAATGGACCTTGTAGCTTGGATCCTTCAATTAAATCAAAATTAAATCCAAACCGAAGTTCAGCAACCTATTCAATCTCCGACCCAACACCCTGACTCGCTTGCACCGGGCGGCCTTGCTCGATCCGAAGTCCGTCTCCAAGCTCTCACGAAAAACCATAAACTAAAACAATAAAATCCTAAACCGTTCCGCCTAAACCGCCTGAAACCATAAACCTTAAACCCCTAAACCAAAACCCTTAACTGCTTAAGCCGCATCCGTTTAAGCCTTCAGGCCTTTAGAACTTTAGGTCTATGGCTACATCGAAAATCGGATTGCTGTGCATCTCTTTAGCTCCTCCCCACGACCTCCAGCTTTATTGTACGGTGTGTACTGTACTGAGCTGCACTTTGTGCATGGTACGGTACGAACAGCAGCACAACGTTGGGCACTGCTGTTTAGTCTGGCCGTCTCACTACCAAAAGCACGACAGCACGAACCGACTAAATTAACAACTAAGATTCGACTAAGATACATACAACCTCGCACTAAAACCCAAAACCGCTAACCATCTGCAAAGTCCTGGGTATGATTCGGGGTGATTCGTGGGAGGATCCTAATCGACTAGCATTGCAGCATCGACATCGGCTGTCAAGCGGTAGCGAGAAAAAATAGACACCCCGGGCTGCTGAAAGACCACATGTCAACCGTCAGCTGTACAGGAACACGGTACCAGACATACAGTGACAGACAGCCGAACATAGAAATACAGATACAAGCTTGCATCACGTGAAGAGCTGAGTGCACTCACTTGCTACCCCCCTTGCCGCTGCCCTTAGTCGAAAGGGCACGTCTCTTGAGGATGGGATCTGCGGCAAGGTCTTTCTTGTCCAGCAACATAAGGCACTTGCTGACCAAACCCAATCTCGTCTCCCCGGGCTGCAGATCCCGACTCAAAGCCTGCCCCAGTGTCATGCTCGCATACACATAGCGAATGGTGGCCATCGTGCGCTTTTCTAGGGCCTTGTCCTCAGGGTTACACGTGGTCTTAGGGTTTGGGGGCGATTTGGGTTTAAAGGTGGGGTTTCGTTTTTAAGGTTTAAGATTTAGGCTAGGGTTTCGGTTGGATAGGAGTTTAGTGTTTAGGACCTGCTCCATCGTCTTGCCAACAGCCTGAAACTCCAAGAGGCTGTCCGAGATAACTTGAAGATGCTTTGAAGATAGCTCTGAAATCCACGTTGGTGCTCCGACCAGCAACGTCTTGACCTCGCCAAGGAAGGATGCCATCTCGACCAATGAGCGATCTGCTTTTGCACAGCCGAAAGCCAATTGCTGCATTGAAGCATGGGAACACAGATTGAGCATTTTAACCTTATCACCATCCTCGGACTGGAAGATCTCGAAAATGTTGTGCTCTTCCGCCACCTTGTCGAAGTGTTCACGAATGCACTTGGAGAGGCTGTCAAAGTCATCCGAGAACTTGTGGATGCAATCGCCAACCGTAGCGATGAAGACATCTCTCAAGCCGTTGTAGAAGTTCTCGACATGAGGCCAGGAAGCATCGGCTCCCTGACATGCAACCTTGTACATCTCATCGAAAGCTTTCACTGCTTGGATAAACTTGCCGAAGATTACATGACAAGGAAAGATTTTAGACGTACCTGTCGCCCAAACAAAAGGCTCCCTACTGCCCGATCGCGAGTGCACCCACATCTTCTGGAGCATATCATGAAACATGACACCGTCACCACCTGTGCCCTGGGCAATCTTATTCTTGAGCACCATGACATACTTCGCGATTTTGAGGAGCGATCCTGCTAGGCACACAAAAGATGCATGCACAGGTTTGGCGCTTTCCTCCCCGGCTTTGATCTCCACCTTGACGATGCTGGCAGAGCTGAAATGCATGAAGTAAGTATGGAATGCCAGTCCCCAATCTAGGCCCGCATGCTGCTGCTTGACATCTTGCCCATCCTCCTTGTCGTCCTTGTCCACAATGCCTGAGGTATCTCCGAGAATCTCTTCTCTGAGGGCTTCTTGTACACGACACTCAGGCTGCAACAGCATGGCGGCAAAGCTCACAAAGGTAGCCGATGTCTGCTGCAACCATTTCAACAGACGGCTGTGGATGCCATCCTGGAGCGAGCCAAGACCTCGGTTGAAGTTGGAAGCGAGAACCTGCAATTGAAATCGCAAGCAGCAATCATTCAACAGATTGAAGGCCTCGACCAGAAGGGGTTGTGCCAACAACTCCTCGTCAACCTGATCGTCCATCACCTTGCCAATGAGCGGGTAAGCATCCCTCATCGTGTTGATAGCCTTCGTCACTGCCTGGATGTCGTCCTCGAGCTTCTTTGCTAAATCCTTGCCGAGCAGTTTGATCAGAGATACCTTGGCCAAAGGATTGAAAGCTGCCAGCTGACAAAGCATTTGATGCACAGGAGGTCCATCCTGTAGTGCGGTCCCTTTGACCAGTTGCTCTGCAAGGGTGTGGAAATCAAACGACTCGTACCTCTGCATAGCCACACGGCGGAGTGCCCCGTAGAGTTCTCGTACCTTCTCCGCCACGGCAACGACATGTACTTGGGATGACTCTTTTTGACAATCGCTGGCAGTCTCTTCAAAAGCAAGCCATTTAGCTGTCATATCGAACACCTTGTGCTGCGAAGGTATGGACACCTCGGGCTCCCCATCCTTCAACTTGAGCAAACCCTCGACTGTGAAAGCTTTGAACCCCCCAGCAATGTTAGCCGCACTCTCGATATCGACAGCAAGGATGGCATCCTTGCGGAACTGCTGGGTGAGCTTGGAGGCACGGGTACCGATCTCGATACCGATGGGGCACATGGAGACAGCAGTGTAGAACACACCCGTCTTGTTCTTGGCGAGGGCCTGCTTGGCCATCTCCACATTCTCTACTGTCGACTGGTCCACAGCGATTTGCAAGGATGCACCCACGAGGGCCTGCAACTTTGCAATGTCCTCCACGATGGCACACTTAGCCTCTGTCAAATCCTTGCACAAGTCTGAAGCCAACCACTCGCGACCAAATGTATGAATGTCCTGGATGATTTTCTGCATGTTCGCCTCCTTCTGCTTTTTGGCCTCGGTCTCATCGTTGCTTGTGGATGCACAAGAGGTCATAAACAGATGGTTGAAGCATGCAGCCAAACAGTTGCACTGGAAGTCGCGAATCTCAGATGGGACATCGCTGCCCTGTTCGCCGTCTTTTGCAGGAGGCATCAAGGAGCCTACACCAGCAGGATAGTCGTTCTTGCAACTCGGGTTCAAGAACTTGAAGACTGAAGCAAAGTCCCGGTTCTGGGTCATCTCTTCAGCCGACCGCCGGCAGATAACACTAGTTACACACTGTGGAAGCTTCACCTCCGTTTCTGCTTCCAAAGTCCGAGCCCGAGTGGAAAGTGTGGCGGGGGCTGCCCCCGTATCGTGCAATGCCTCAAGAAATTCGCATGCAAATCCCAAGGCACTCTTGGCTGATTTCAAGCCGTCCCACACAAGGGAAGCTCGCGAAC